GAACCAGTCCTGCGCTGATCCTCCTGCAGGTGATGGGGCCACGGGAAGATGGCTTCTCTGTCATCAACAAAATAGCCTTGGTCTTTCAGCGGGGGCTTCAGGCAATGTGCTGTTATAGTGTCTTGCTCAGGGACAAAACAACAGCAGACATCAGTGGGAGCAGGTGACATGGGTTGTGGTGGGCTCGAACCCATGACCATTATGTCCAAAGACCAGTGTTCTACCAACTGAGCTACTGTTGTTTTTCAGACTCAAATTAATTGTATTTGCCATTTGCAGTAAAACCCCATTGGAATAAGTGCACAAGACAAGAACAGAAATAAAAATGATTGTAAAAAGCGCAACTAAAAGAGTTCCAATACAAAGTCAAGATCATTAAAGACCAGAATGTTGAACAGCCGCATCACAGGGTAAAGATTAATGTTATGGTTGACAAGAGAGACTTCATACATTGATTTGACATTGTTTATTTACCCATAAAGCACGCAATGAATAAAAAAATGAAAAACAAAATGATTGTTGAGTCGATTGACACCAACTAACGCTTGACCAACAACATACATTTGTAAGTATAATGTCGTGTGGGGCTGCCTCGGCCTTCAGCAGCAATGGTGTTTTCATTATACGTATGTCATAACATTGGTCCCTTTAGTGTCAGCTTACTAAATATAGAAGACACAAACCGCGCCCTCTCATTTATATAAATTGCAAATAACTTTAGCTCATTAATGACCCATCACTAACACGACACCACTTTGAAATGTTCAAACATGAGCAAATGAGCCCCACCGTTTAGGGGTGGGCTGCTCAATGTGTCGATCGCAATTAAAGGCAGGGTGGGTAGTCCGTTTCATTGCACCAGTATGAAAAGTCAGAAGTCACACGCGCACAGGACAGCCACAAATGCACCGTTTGTCCACAGGCTGCGGCTGAGAGCGTGATTAACCAAATATTCAATCACATCTGTAAACATGACTGCTGCTAAGTGTGTTTTGGCATCACACCCTCAAAAGAAAGAACAGAAAATGCCCATGAGCGTGTGCACGGTCAAAGTAGACAGTAGAAAACCAGATGTGAGCGATTCTGACGAAAAGTATGAGCACTAAAAAGTTATAAGTGACATTTACACTCCATGTCTGCCCTTTTAAATTGCACCTTAGACGACCCAACCATCTGTAATGGTGTTGCATTTCGGCCCTGGTTCTGGTTCTGCAGGTCTCACTCTCCTTCTGCCGGACCAGAGCAACATGCGCGAGCACAGCAGGACTGAGGTGGAGGTTTTATCTGGCTTTTCAAACAGACACATCGTCACTAACGTATTGGGCTTGTCATTGGGCTTTCCAGATGTAGCTGCACTGGGGGCTTCGTTTGGACAGTCCTTACTCATAACATTATTTTAGTAACACACAAAAAAACAAACAACTGAGCATGCGTGCAGCTGCGAGCATCAGCGCAGATGATTGACAGCCCTTGGCATGACTCGATTGGTTAACGTGGACGGCACCGTGGATTCTGAACTATAGCTAAGAGAAGGGAAGGCGGGACTTGCCCGTAATATTAGAATTAATAAAATGACTTATTTTATATCAACATTTAAGGCCAGGAGGTCAATTTAACACATTTCCTAAAATTTGTAATTCATTTAGAGCAGGGGTGCTCACACTTTTTCAGCATGCGAGCTACTTATAAAAGGATCAAGTCAAAATGATCTACCTACTACAAAAATGCAAATCATATATTTCAAAAAATATTCTTTATATCTACAATGTATGTTTATGTACATGCAAAACAGCATGAGCCAATATAGCACAACACAACACAATTACCTATGTACATTTTTTGTCATTACCCGAGTTTACTCTTATGACTTGCACTGAATTGAATCGGCCAGGGATGCATAGTCCGGAAAATTGGTGGTAACTCGCTGACAAGTTTGTCGTGGTTTTGCTTTCCTGCACTGAGCGCGGTTGTTTGCGCATGTGCAGTCACCTAAGTGTCAGTAAAACATTACTGAGTAAAACACAGATGTCATTTGACTGTGGTGCCATGTCCATGTGCCATGCCTGTTTTTTTTAAAATCCAAATATTTCCCCTCCTCCGTTTATAAAGTAATTTGCATCCACACATCTGCGTTATCAATCACATTCGTAACATTCCAAACATGTGCGTCTCTTACGTTGTTGGGGAAAAACGTGGGCGGAGTTCTGATGCAGACGCCGGTAACGGCACTTTTACAGTCATAGAAGACACTCAGAGTAAAGATGTATGTTTACAAGCACTGACCCCGTCCTCAGCCCTGGTTTAGTCCTGGTTTAGTCCTGGTTTAGTCCTGGTTTAGTCCTGGTTTGGTTGTTTTCGAGCGTGAGTCCCTGCGATCACTTTGCTGCTCTCTGATGTGGAGCGAGGATGTTCGCTGATGCGAGCATCTCACAGCAAACAGTTTTTAAGGTAGTATGATCCATGCTTCAGTGATCAGAGGAATTTAGGGGGGTACTGTGGCGTGCGAGAACGCAAAACTCTGGTTATCTCTGTCTACACACAAATGCATTAACGGAGTTTTCAAAAATCTCCACTTTGCCCGGAGTTTTTTGTATATATTCGTTTAGAATGTGTAATTTTTTATTTATTTAATGCGATCTACCAATACTACCTTTGCGATCGACTGGTAGATCGCGATCGACGTATTGAGCACCCCTGATTTAGAGTTACAGACTATCACTTTAAATAAACCCATATGCTAACTAATTTCTAAATGGGAGTCTATTATGAAGTATAGGCAAAATAAATGTCATTTAACTTAATCACAGCATCTTACTAATATGCTGTAAAGTGAGTTTTATAATAATTTTGTTTATCAGCAACAGAATAAGGTTAAGCAGAAGTACGAAAACACATAATTGCCCTTTTGTTTTCTGCATATATAGTTTTGGTGGACCTTATATGAGAGATACTCAGTGCAAACACATTGTCAAGAAATCTTAGAATTAGCCTATTGTTTAATTTACATTTTTCACACTTTATATGCACATAGCGTCTTTAATTTGTGATGTACATTTGCATAAATGAGCCCGTCCTGCTAATTATTTATTACTTAGTGTTTTATCTGTCACAGCAGGCCCCGTCTCACATAGGGTTAATTTATTCATTTAGCTCATTCACTTTGCCAGATTGAGAAAATGAAGCTAATTTATAAGAAGGCGGAGTCCTTTACGTCCACGATAATTAGGCTTGTGTAAGCTTATAATACTTTTTTAACAATAGAAAACTTTAAGTAAGTCACTTAAAAGTAATTCAACAAAAGTATCGCAATAAAGTTTAAAACATACATGATAAAGATGTGTATACAAATCTGTAAAAAATTGTTTTACTTTAATTTACTTTTGTTTGTCTGGTTTATCGTGGCTTTAAAATGCATTAAAATCAATTGTAAATTTGGGGAAAAAAACAGTTGGGGACAAGAGAGGCTCTAATATTCTTATGTTTAAGAGTCATATCTGGGTTAGTGAAATTGAAAGCACAGTCTTAAAACTGTCCAAAAATATATATATAATCTCAAGTATCCTTTGTGTTCATCAGAATGAGTTTTTGAGAACATGTTTGAATTCATAAAGCCGAGAAAGAATTTTCTTTTTTTTAAAGGAGCAGTATGTAAAAATGTGGCCAAAAGTGGTACTGCAGCCTCTCCCACTCCCCTTGACTCAGGTTGCCAGATATGCAGACAAATTCAGCTGGGGCCATAAAATATGAATAGACAAGAATTTTGTCAACAACAAGTCAAAAACCAACACTTTTTTCACAAAGACCCCGATTGTTCCGCCCGGGTCAGCTAGGGAGTAAAGAACGCAACAAAAACCAGGTGGAAATGGTATGAGTCCATTATAAGTAAATTTTATAATGATAGTGAATAAAATGAATTGTGGAACGAACGAGGAATGCAGAAATAACAAGGAAATAATGTCACTATACAACAAACTAGAGCTCAGAATAACGAAGTGACAAAATACCACAACAACAGCCCAGGAGGAGAGGTGGAGGCAGACTGGCACTGAACAGGTCCAGCCGCCTCGAGCTGGAGGAGACAGGGAGGTTATCTGGGAAATGCTCTCATTGATGGATCCCCAGGGTTGGAAGACGTCATGACGCTTCACCCGCTGCAGCCACTCAGGAGACAAACCGGCCATTCCCACCCCCGAAGCTCCTCCAATACAGACCTGTACAGAGCGAGGCGGCGCACACAAACACAACAAAGGGCAACGGGAGCGCCATCTAGTGCACAACTGGCACAATAGGTCGCTGCCCGAAACACAGATGGGAATCCTTGTTTTATTCCTTGTTTTGAGAATCATAACGAGACTTTTTTTAGTTCTGCAGCCACATGTTTGTTTACCAGTGAGATTAGCTCAATGCTGTGAGTTTTGATAACCCAGATTACAGACTTTCTGATTGGTGAAACGGTGGAGAGCGGACATCGAAATGAAAACAATAACAAGATTTAGGGGTTGTAAAACAAATTTGTAAATCCAATCATCTCTGAACTACTGTTATCAGTGGAAAATATCATATTTTATTAAAGCCTTTTGACAGATTAGGGCCCTTTAAAGATGACTTGACAAGAAAATCTTACATATTGCTACTTTAAAACTCTTCATACAAAATGCTAAAAATGATTTCTTTACAATATCTAGAACTTCTTTCACTTTTCTGCTCTGGGGTAAAAACAGTCAGACATGGGTTCTTTATAATACACTTGTTCAACACATGTAGAATTATTGTCTTCACATTTATCGTTGGTTTGCCAGAGAACATTGTCGGGAAGTGTTGGGAGTGAGGCAACTGTGTGAAAGGTGTGATGTTGTCAGAGTCCATCACATAAAACAGACGGAGAGAGCCGAGGATAGCCGTGGATAGCATTAGAAACACCACATCAGAGCTATGACCTTTCTGCCACTTCCTCTTTCACTAAATGTTTTGGACGGCACCGGGGCACAGGCGCTGAACCCATGATGGCGGCAACTCTCACTCTACAAGATTTTTTACATGATGCTCCTGTCACGAGGTGAAAAACAAAAAGCAGGACTGCAAACAGAAGTGTATAATGAACAAACCTAAATCCAGGATAAAAACAGGTACGAGACCATGGAAACACACAGTGTATGAATTAAAAACTGAAACACAAGTGCAGTACATTTGGGTGGGGCAGGTCATTCATTTTCTACCCTTTTAATAGTCCATTTTTGGGTCGGGGGGAGTGACAATCAGAGCTGCCTTCCCAATACTTTAATAATAGCACCAGTCCAAAAAAATCAAAGTATCAAATCATAAAAAGATCCACACCATGACAACTTTAGTATATACAGTATGTATCCAGATATTATATTATGTGACACATAACAACCCTGTCGTAGGGTTTCTACACAACGTGTTCTGTGTTCACCACAGACTTGAGGCTGCAGTGTTTGCTGAGTTTCAACATTTACTCAAGGAGCTGTGTACGGATGAGTTTCGCTTTCAGCTGTACTTCCGCATGTCACTCGCCCAGTTTCAGTTCCCGCACCCTGCATCGCCCACCTGGATCTCGCATCACCCGCCTGGACACCAACTACAGGAGCCTGGACACCAACTACAGGAGCCTGGACACCAACAGGAGCCCGGACACCAACTACAGGAGCCCGGACACCAACTACAGGAGCCTGGACACCAACTACAGGAGCCTGGACACCAACTACAGGAGCCTGGACAACAACTACAGGAGCCTGGACACCAACTACAGGAGCCTGGACACCAACTACAGGAGCCTGGACACCAACTACAGGAGCCTGGACACCAACTACAGGAGCCTGGACACCAACTACAGGAGCCTGGACAACAACTACAGGAGCCTGGACAACAACTACAGGAGCCTGGACAACAACTACAGGAGCCTGGACAACAACTACAGGAGCCTGGACAACAACTACAGGAGCCTGGACACCAGCTGATTATTTATTAACAACGTTACTTACTACATTTGAAGAGAAGAGAGTGAAGACACAGTAACTAACTACATTCACCAAAATGTCGTCGGTATTAAACACACATCTTCTCGAGAGTGATGAAAATGTGTGGCAAACTTTTATCTCCAACAAAAAAAGTGAAATAAAAGCTTGTAGAGATGATTTAAGAATTGCATAAGGATTACATTTTGATCTTGTGTGAGCCATACCGTCTAAAGCCTGCGCATTCTCATTTGTATGACGTTGGGGTATTGAGTTGGAAGCACAGGCCTGAGGTGGAGACAAATGGCAGCGACAGAGAAGCTCACAGTGGCACTTCCTGGTCATGAATCACACGCACATTATTACCGCAGCCGTATGGAGCGTGTGATTTAAGACATGTGGGGAACACTATTGTATGTATAGGAGCCACGTTCATTTGGAGACTTTAAATAAATCAAGTCAATATGGTTATGAAGTAGCACTATTCATAGCAACCACATATTCTTTATGCGGGACAGATTTTACATAATTACTTCAGTATCATTCGGCCGTGCATCCCATGAAGGCATTCATTGAATTGTGCAGAAAATTACTTTAAAAATATAGTGTTGGCATTATCAGTTTTATATTTGTGGCCGTAGGGACATTGTAGCTAAAGAAACAATTCAAGAAAGCAAGCAGAAGTAAGGTCACTGCAGGGAAAGTATATGAGCCAGGTTTGATGCAATAACCACAAGACACATGTTTTTCTTTTTGCAAATAAAAAACAAGGCACAGCGGGAAATCATGAGTGAATTTCATTTTATATTTTAGTCTATTCACAACCATATAAAGTTGACAAAAAGATGATCCATAAATGTTTGCTTTTGAATTGAATGGAGGCTATTGTCATGTTATTGAGTGTATTTCTAATCACAATATGAACATAATCTGTTTTTTGATTTTTTTAATCTTCTGAACGACCTCTGCTTCTGAATATATCTTTTGTACCTTGTTTAAATCAGCGAGTCCATGTCACGGCAAAATATAACACCTCTATGACGGCAGCAGCGGCCAAAACTATCACTGTATGATATAGGTCTGCATTTAAAAAAACTACACAAGTACAATTTTAGCAAAAGGCCTGTGGACCTATTGGCAAAGAAAAAACACACAATTAGTCTCTGCCACAAACTTCAGACTTCTCAGTTAAAAAAACAAACATTTTTAATTAGGTGAAATGATTTGTTTAGAAATGATTGAAATCCATTTGAAATCCTATTTGTGGCACATTTCTAGACTGAGACCATAGAACGAAGATGCAGAAATTTGGAATATATTGATTAACATTTTGCCTGATAGACGTCCAGCCTCCCAGTTATTTGTTTTCTCTTGTTGTATCTGCCCCAATGCCGCATCCTGACCAGCAGAATGAAAATGACATTAAAATGCATTACCAAAAGCCATTCCTATAAAATCTGAATGACTGCCCAAATGATCACCCATTATGATTCCTTTTCAATTCCTGACACATGGTAATGCAATTTAAGCACAAGGATCTTTAAAACCAGGATGAAAGGGCAGCGTTTGAGTCGAGCTCAGACCACATCATTAACAACCAGCATAATGAGAAATCTCCACGAACAGCAATTAACATTTAAAAGCATCAGGTAATGGCGCTGATGTGAGCCTCTGTGTGACTTGGCACAGGGCAAATATTTAACAAAGTTCTCTCTGGAATGAATGATTTCTGAAGAGTCACAAGTATGAAGCTATTATTTTTGTACATAAAGAAACATTAAGAAATCTATTGATGACAAATTGTTCCATTTGTGATGTAGCCTTGAATTGCTTTACATAACTGTAGTGAACTTAAGTTCCTTACTTGTTAAAGTAGAAAGAATAAATGTATTTTATTGAGTCTTGTAGAGCTGCTTAAATCTATAGAGAGGTTTTCATGCTGGAGGATGGTTAGAAAAGAACTAAGTAAAGAAATTCAATTTGACAACTTTGAACTTTGAAATCTCTACTGTACAAATGATGGATGAGAATTCATTCAAATCAGAGAATGCTCTTCCTCCCCCTGAACTGGGCTGAAATAGTGCGGTTTGAGCTGCCTTTTCTTAGCTTTGTGATTTCTGGTGACCTCACAATTCAATATTATCAGAATATATCAGAGTTTCACATGTTATACATTTTTGAAAAGCTTAGAATCTACATTTTCAGAACCTGTGAATAACTCAAAATGCCTCTGGGCACAAATGCCCCCTTTTCCCACGGCCAGACACATTTGTGAAATGCACTTATGGTTCTCCTCACGGTGCAGAGAGCAGTTTTATTTAGTACATATCTGGTCTCCCTCTGTTTGAAATCACAGAAGATCCCTCCTCGATGAAAACTTTGAGGGAGATATTTAGTCTAAGCGGGCACTACTTAAATTTTGTTTCATCATAATGGAGACCAGTCGTGTAAATAAACATCTTGCTGATCTGGCCGGCACATTCAAATAAAATATCCATCCATCCATTTCCTTCTGCTTTATTCGTTGCCAGTCTGAGCAGAGGCGCCCGGACTTCCCCGGGTCTTTCCCATACGGCCAGCTCTCTTTGGGACATGCCCAGAACACCTCCCCAGGGAATCCACAACAGATGTCCAAACCACCTCACCTGGCTCCTCTGTATGTGGAGAAGCAGCGACTCTACTCCGAGCACCTCCTGTGTGACAGAGCTCCCCAGCTCTTATTTCCTCCTCCTTTTTGTTATTACCCAGAGAGCATAAATAATGTGGGAGGTTGGGTGGAAAATCATATATCAATCGATACTAAAAGTAGTTTTGAAACATTTTGAGCAAGTAGAGATACAAGTAAAACTGCATAAACCGGACTAAACTATTTTATTTGTTACAATTTGTACATTATATATTTGTACATTATTTGTACATTATTATGTATTTTATATACATAACCATATCAAAGGAATATTACCCCGTAAAAGTGTTATTTTGAGTCTTAAATACAGTTTTATTTCCAAAATCAGCATTTATCAATAATTTCTGTGGAATCAAAATGTTTTGTTTAATTTCTAGTGTCTAGTGTTAATGTAGTGCATTTCCGGTGTTGGAACACTTTGATTTTCTGATCTGTGTTGGCGAATCATCAACTTTGTAATGTCCTCCGAGACTGTCCTGCTGTGACTTAAGTCTATACAAAAATAAATTGAATTGAATTGAAAGAATATTGTGTGTAATATTATCCATGCAAAATGCAAAGATGTTGGGGGAGTGTGTGCATCCTGGCTTGTCCTTGCTTGGCCATTGTGAAGGACGTTCTTGTCTTCCTGACTGCCCAATCAATCAGCCTCCTGCCGGGAGAGGGAGCTCCGTGTCCCTGTCACAACAAGTGATTGCCTGGGCTGCAGTACTAACTGAATGTCAAGCTCTCGGCAGCTCATAATCGCCCTTACCTGACAAAAAGTGTCCCATAAGAAGCCAACATGAGCTGAATGAGAAAGATGTTATCCACGGATCCTTGGAAGAATTCTTTGATATCCGAAAGATGTCTGTACTTGACCTGTCAATTGTCACCATCAAATCTTAAAGTTTTTAATTCCTGCACATTGGAGTTGACCTTTTTTGGCAGTTTGAATAGTTTAACTGTTATCCGCTATCAGCAATTTCCGTAAAGTCCTTGTGAAGACTTTATAAAAACACATTTATTTGAAGAATGGTTTTGAAGAAATAAGTATGCAATATCATTTTGTACATAACATTTTCATCTGAAACCATCCCTGGCTCGAATATAAATATATATATACACTATATTTCTTATTATACAATGTTCATTCATAGGTATTAAATGTACCTCTTAAGTTATGCACAATCTGATATAAACTGTAATTATCAGTCCAGGCCCATTGTCAAAGTTGATCCTGGTCTCATAACCCTAACCTTAACCCTTAACCTAACCCTAACCTAATGAAACATTGATCCTGGGAAAACAAACATCCAGAGTGTAGTGGAGAAGGATTCAGAAGTAGTCATCTGGGTGCTGTGCTGTGCTTTGGTTTGAAAGGAGCATGACTGAGACTTTGGAATGGATTGGGAAACACCTGAATACACCTGTCAGCGTTGACTACTCTGTAAACACTGTCCACTGTGAAGCCAAGCTGAGAAATGAGACCAGAACTATTATAGTGTATGTCCTTAGCAGATATATTTGAATGTTTCTTTCATAGACCGGTCAACAAGATGGATAATGATAACAATGTATGTCTGATCAAAACCACTGAAATGTCGTGAGCAGTGTTGTCTATTTGAACTAGTTTAGACTTATACTTTACTCTCCCTGTAGGGATTTTTGTCCTCTTCTTTCGACCCATTCTGCAATTCCACAAGGGCCACCTGTCAGAAGCAGTGGTGAGATGGTAAGGCAGGCATATTCAATGTCATTTTTTTCGAGAACCACAGACTGCGAGACAAACTAATTGCACAATGCACCTCCATAATTACACCATTTGGTGTCGCACACAATATATAGGCAACACAAGATCTATTTTTGAAACCGACACCTGCTATGTTTTTGTCCGAAAATAACCAACTCTGCTATGCCAAACTGAATTAGCGATAGACTGTTTCCAACCAGATTTAAAGATAAAATTAAGAATTCAAGTAATATACGGTCGAAAGAGATAAAACTGAGCTAAGAATATATCAGTGTTACTTATGTTGCATTGCTCAGCAAAAGCCGGGTTCACACGGCAGGACAGTGAGACCAGTTTTGGCCCAGATTATCCCCTTCTGGCCATCTTAAGGACGCTTGATGATCAATAAAAATCTCATATGAAACTTACTTTGTGTGGTTATGGTTAGGGTCAAGACTGGTCTCGTCTGCTCAGAAGGACACCGGCATCACTCTGATCTCAAATTAGGGATATTAAACATGGATTGTATTGGTCCGAGTTCTGTGTGGTGTCTCTCAAGCGCAACCCTATTGACCGTGACAAGACGCCGATCAGTAAGGAGGTGAT